ATGTTATAACGGTTCGGTTTTTCGGTTCTTTGGATTACCGACTTATAATAAATAACCGACAATAAGATTTTGGGTTGAGAACCGGTCAAAAAATTGCAACTCACGTGCTAAAATTATCATGTAAAACAGAGAATCGGAATGCCAAAATGAGGAATCGAATATTTAATACCAAGAGTCGGAACCGATTTATATATATTAATATATAAAAACATGCATATTTCACATATATAGTCGGTTCTTCGGTTAATACACATACATTTAAAATTGAACCGGGAACCGAAATCGGTTTGTGCAAAAAATAACCGGAACCCAAAATATGTTTTTTTTTTTAAATAACTGGACCAAACCGGTTATTTTCGATTCGGTCCGATTCGGTTCGGTTCTTCCGGATATAAAATCCACCCATAGAAAAAAAAAATAAAAAAAAATCAATGTTCCGTTGCAGATTTTGCACTTTAGAAGTCAGCTGCTTGTGTTATCTAGAGATTCACATATTTGATTTTCATGTGTGTTTAGTTTTCCACTTGTGAGCTGTGAGGCAATAAGTTGAGGCGGTAAAGCAAACAAAAAATTGATATGTAAGAATCCCAAATTGAAAATCGAAATCAATTAAAGTTGATTTCATAGACATATCCGAATCAATTAGATTTGATTTTTTTTAAAAAAAAAATAAATTGGAATTTTAACCTGACACACTTTTCTCACATAAATTAATTATATTTCTATATTTGTAGACAAATTATTTGGAATTGTTATAAATATTTTTTTCTTTTTTTTTTAAAAAAAAATCAATAGAAGATTTTATAAACAACAAACATATAATTACAATATTCAATCAACTATACAATTGAAATCAAAGAGAGGCATACACGCGAAGACCATTGTATTCTAGAATCTACTAAATTAGACAACTCACAAGACTAAAAGCAACAAGAACCATAATACTAACTCCTACAAGTTGAGAATACTAACCCCATAAGTGAACAATACTACAACCCAACTTTTAGAGCTAAAAAACAAACGAACCACCCTACAAGCACAAATGTAAAACAGAAGACCACCTAAAAATAGTAAACTATAGATTAAAGCCTTCCCCGCCAGCCGATAAAGAACTCCGAGCCTCCATCTGACGACCCACCACCCGAAGGCGAACAAACAAGGTGACAGAAAGCCCAAAAAAAATCTTAAACTCCAAAAAATATAATGTTGGAAAATCAGTAATATAAAATTGGGTATTCCTGATTTTGACTTATTTTTTATGGTTAAGTATTTAATTCGGGTTGAATTAAATTGTGTAGAAATAACTACGTTCCGAGTAGATACTCGTGGTATATTTATTTTCTCAAAACTTATTTTCAGTGAGTACGAAATAAATGATTAAAGTTAACCATAAATGGACACGCAAAACGTTGGTTGTGGTCTCGAACGGTCAAAAGTCCAATCCTACATAGAACTCTTAAATGAGATTAACTTTCTTATTATAATAAATAGAGTTGGATATGTCACAACAACAACAAAGCTATGCACCAAGTGTTGGTGTTTTGAACTCGGGTTTTGACTCAACCCGTGTGGCACCTTTCAAGTACATTGAATTTGGACGTGTGATCTTTCATTTGTCCACTACTTGAAACGTTTCAGGAGTTATTAGGTGAATTTAAAGTGAGTTAAACACCTTAATGTTGCCAATTTATTAGGTTGATTAAAGGTGAGTTAATCACCTTAACGTTGTCATCTATAAGGTGGATTGAATGTGGTTTTTTTAGTGTCGGGATGTTATCAGATGACCACCAAAATTCTCCCACTTGTAATGGAAGTCCTATAAATATGACATAGAGTTGTAGAGAAAAAATGACACTTGATCATACAATCACCTGCATACTCTTAAAAGCCTCACGCATCATAACATTCAAGTGCTCAGTTCTCGACTATATTCAAGTTTATTGGAGCTCGAAAGCTGGTGTGCTACAGCCTTCAAGACGTTTTTGTATCTTTGGGACGAGACGCCTGAATCCGTTAACACTATACGGGGTGTTTTTGCCTTACCGAAGAAGCAATCGCCTCGGCTTGGTTATCGCTTTCTTTTTTGTATTTTCGCTTTCAGTTGTAATTTCGTTTTTCTCGTTTACAGTTCAAACTGTACGAACTGAAAGCATCATCTTCAATTCATAGGTTTCCCGTTATAATCAAAAAACATATTGTGTAACATATACTACTGATTAAACCCGGAACCAAAGCGGGCTAACTCCCTCCCTAAAAGAACACCAACGCAACAGTGACCAGAGACCAACGACCAACCCCTTCTCCTTCACCAACCGAAGGCCCCGGCCAGGCATGATGGAAGACGCAGCTTGGCACAGCCGGAGCATCCTATCCCCCCAATACCAGGAACAATGACAAAACACGAGGGAGTAGTGAACGCCGGTCTCTGCTCCAAGCACTTCCACAAGCAGATGGAGCCAGCAACGTTGCCATCCCTCCGTCGGAAGATCCCTCCACAAACCGCCATGGCCACTCGAGAAGAGGAACTCCAGTTGGTGAGAAGACCGCAACCCGGTTGTAGGCGCGTCGCCCGACCAGTTGTTCGCGAAACCGTAGAGAGGTGGAGCTGGCTGAGGGAAGGCATGACGAAAGAAAGAATTCGATGGTTCCGGTCGAATTTGAGGATTTTTGGGTTTTAGAGAGAGAGAGAGAAAGAATTCAAATTTTTACACACGATGATTCCTAGCCTCGAAAAATTAATAAAGTGGAAGTAAACATTTGTCTCTATTTGTTTTAAAAAATAATTTGATAAATATTAATGAGAACGATTGGATATAAATAGAATCAATTTTGATTGGATTATTGGTTAGAATGAGTTAATCTATATATATATTAAAGCTAGGCAGCTGGAAAAAATTTCATTTTCCCTCCAAAACTACATTTATTATATTGAAATAAATTTTGTTAACTTTTATGTAATACAACCATAAACTTAATTAGTTTTTACAAAAAAAAAAACCACTTAATTATGTATATATATTTATCTACTTATTAAATAATTACTCTCATATTCCCAAAGCTACATTTATTACACTTTTTTTTTTAACTTTTATGTAACTCAACCATAAACATAATTAGTTTTTATAAATAAATATATAATTACAAATGTAATTATTTGT